GTGAGACAAAGTCTCACCATCCTTGTTTCTAAGGAACATTCAGGCTGTACTTCTTCCAGAACAGATTTGTCCCTTCTTCTGGCAGTCCATGGTATATTCAATATTCTTTGCCAACACCATAATTCACATGCATCAATCTTACTTGGTCTTCCTTATCCATTGTCCAGCTTTCGAAAGCAAATGAGATAATAGAAAACACAGTAAAACCTGTGAAAGCCGGAACCTGTGTTAGGTGATGAAGGGGAAAAGAGAGCTTTCAAGGCTGAACTTGGCTGACCTCATGATTTATGTTAGTTCACTGCTGTTTCTGTTAGTTTGCTGCTGTTATATGACCTTGCTGAGGCAGTCTTAAGTAACTCCCAGATTTGTAGCTACTATTGCCCTTGACCACTATAAAAACCTCTGCCCTCCCACTGTGGAATGTGGAGATCTTTTTGGTCCTGCTGCCACCCCATACCACCTCACATGTTAAGTTTGCCTAATAAAACTCCTTCACTCTCACACTGGAGTTGCCCACCTTGTTCTTCAGTCTCTCAACACCCTCCAATTATGGAGGCAAATTTCAAGTTGCTGGTCCATTCCTTGACAGGCAAGAACCTGCCAGAGAAGGAAAAGTTAAATATTTTCCACTTAAATTTTACTTTAGCCTAGTAAATACTCTCTGAAAGCCAGAACCTGCTAGACATGGACAGAATCAGAAAATCGTTGATATTGCAACCCAAATACAAGGAAGTACAGATGCAAAAACCAGAAATAGTTCCCAGAAGTACAAGAGACAAGAGCCACAGATTTAGGCAGTCTTCCACTTCCTTTTGAATTCTTACTTCATGAGTGAGTACTGACATCGCTACCGTTCTCTGAGTGTGCCTATTCCTTACATTTTTTCCACAAACTTAGAAATTTGCTTCAATAATTTTATCAAAACAAACAAACCAAAAAAACTAAATAGTTGATGCTAGATTTTTTTTAAAGTGAATTTTACCCATATCTTTGTTTGAACAGCACGTGCACATACAAAAAAACCTGTTGCCGTTGAGTCAATTTCGACTCATGGCGACAGAGTAGAACTGCCCCATAGGGTTTCCAAGGAGTGGCTGATGAACTTTTGGTTAGCAGACAAGCTCTTAACCACTCTGCCACCAGGGCTTCATAGGCACATATCTGTACATAATTTGAATACACAGACAAATTATTTTAAAAATGGTTTAGTTTATTTTCCAGTCCTATAAAATTGAAAAGAAACAGTTTCTGGGTGACTATGAGGTAGGATTCTTAATAGAGAAGGAGCCATAACAGAAAGGGAAAATATGGACAAAGTTAATCTATGATAACAATGACAAAAATAATGATAACTAACAGGGACCAGCTACAAGCAACTGACTCTTTTAATCTTCCCAACTACGCTAGGAAATAAGTGCTTCATTTTTCCCATTTCACAGATGAGAAAACTGAGGTTCCTAGTGGGAAAAATGCTCAAATGAAGTTAAATCCAGGGCACCAGGCTGAAGACTCTATGCTCCCCGAGTCGAACCACTGCACTCAGGAGCTGACTGTAGAAACTGAGAGCCAAGTTGCACGGTGCCATTGTGTTCTGCTGTCGCCTTCTGAGGTAGGTCCAGGACTTGTAGCTGCTCATGCTGTGGACAATGGATAAATGGAAACCATCAAGAGAAATCAGTGAGGACCTACTGAGGCAGAAGAAGTCTCCTAGACTAAGGCCCTGAGTTGCTCCTCAAACCTTGAATGGAAACTACCCCCCAAAGTCACCTTTAAACTAAGTAACGTTTAGCCCAAAGAGTGAAGATTGTCATTCTTAAGTATTGTGTTTCTTTAAAAAAAAAAAAATTATCTGTATAAGACCAGAGGGTCAATCACTATTTTAAAGCATAGATGAGAAGTTTGAGGGGCAGGGAGATTAAGTAAATGGAAGTGAAGCAACTAGAACAGAAATAATGAGAATACTGACACAATGTGAAGAATGTAACCAATGTCACTAATCATTATGTCTAGAATCTGTGGGGTGGGGGTGGGGTGTAATTTCACCAAAAACTACATTAAATTTTTTTTTAAAAAGGGACACTAGGAGTGTTCAATTGCTGAAAAAAGTTGGTTTCTAATCCCTCAGAGATTCTCCCTCCTCAATCTTTCATAAAATAGATTCTGCCTTGTCCTCAAGTGAGAGAAGACTCCTATTTTTTTTTCTCCCTCTCACCCAGTTTTCCTAGCCCTTGCTAGTCTCCTCCAATCACTTCAACAACACTGTCACTTATCCTTGCTTGTCACTGAGGGAGTGAAACAGTAACAGGAAAAAAGGATGAGTCCAGGACTAGTCCTCTTGTCAAGCCCTGGCCCATCCCCCAACAGTGAGTGTCTTCCCCAAAAGGAGGATTAAGTCCTTGTTCTTCAAGGCCTGGTCATGGATCACAAACACAGTTCCATCTCTCCATTACTTCTCCATCCTCCTCACCTAAAAAGCGTATGTACACGAGTGCCCGGCCTTGCTCCACCTGCCTGCTCAGGTACAGGCACCGACCTCCACCTGCAGCTCACCACCTCTCTACCCCTTGCTCCTGCCACCCCCTTGAGACAGCAGCTCCTAGCTGGAAAGTTCAGGGTGATCAGCAGGCCCATCTAGGAAAACTTGGCTGCCAGAGTCTGTATGTGCCCTGATTCAGGGCATCCCCTATTGGCAGGGACCCCACCTTCACCTGACCCTCTGTACCTGCCAGGCTCTGAAACTGCACTCAGGCCTTCTTGCTGTTGACCATTTCACCTGGCCACTGTAAAAACTGCTGTACCCCAAGTCAGCTGCTCAGCGGAGGCAACCAGGCCTTTACACCACTATCCGTCAGAGAAATCTGACCAGGCCACTGCCCACAGGAGACCTTCTTCTCAATGTAGAAGAGGAGCTTTCTTGAGACACCTCCCACACTGAAACCTCCTAGACAGGGATCTCCACATGTGAATTCCTGCTTCATTTCAAATTTGTTGCAGAACACTACTGGAAAAAGTCCTATTAAGATTATCTGGTGAATTCATAAAATTGTTATTGGTCATCAAAATTTAAAGCAGAATTTTAAGAAATTAGCACATGCCTGTTACACACGTTTCCCAACAAATGCCTCATTGATATGGAGGCAACACTTTCTGCCCCACAGGGAATCAAAGCTGCAGGTGAGAGCAGGGGCAACAGGCCTGCACTGTTCCCACTCGATGCAATGTGGATGGATCACTTTGCAGTGGGGGAGGGGACTCACTGTCCTAGGTTGCCCAGAACTGAGGGGAAAACTGTGATGAAATTAGATTTAAGGGGGAGAAATCACTGCCGCCCTCCTGCCCTCTGGTCACACAGAAGAAGTGGACACAGCAGAAAGACGGCATCTCCTGGACACCTTACCTTCTCACACTTCACGAATCACATTTGCTCTTGGCTGAAACACAAAACTTCCTGTTTTCTCTTTTCCTCTCTCCTCAAGCAATCTGATTACTGGGGAAAGTATTTTGGTCATCCCTTACCCCACATTTACAGGACAGTAACTATCACAAGAGAGGGGAATTGGCTCAGTGTGGATAAGGGGAGGTCATACAGCACAGACCAAATGCCCCAGTAAACAGCCCCTGTGGACTTTCCCCCGGAAGGCAGGAAACCCTCAGAGGCAGGACAAAACCAAGGTCCACAGCTCCCCTGAGGATGGGCTGGTCCCTCTTTCCAAATAGTAAGGGACATCTGCTCATGTCCTCTCCATATTATCCACAACGAAGAGCCAAGGACATGAACACACGTGATGGGGACTTGAAAAGAGCACAAGCCGGGAGTCGGAGGAAATAAAACACGGGACTCAGGTCTGCAGGAGGGATGTGAGGAGCTGCCAAATACACAGAAGATGCCTACCTGTGCTCAAGGCCCATCTGTCTGTTCTGAGTAAAGGCTCCCCAGGGGCCTTTAGGCAGGAGGCTCAGAGGCCATCCCATGAACCTGGCTCATGGATCTTTTTCTTGGTTTTCTCATGAAGGCTGGAAAGATTGGGGGAAAGGGAGGCAGACAGATACTAGAGCCATCATATGTCTCCCATATTCCTGTGAGAGTTAACCATCTTCCACCCCACCAGATCATAAACTCTTGTGCTATTTGTTCCCGCTGATTCCACAATCATCCAGGGCCGTGTCAATTAGCCCATGATTCCCCACACATTCCATCTGGACTAGCTCTGGCATCCTGAGAGATGGAGAGAGGAAGAAGAGATCACAGAGAGGAGCCCAGGCCCATCACTAGGCACCCTCATCACCCAGGTAGCAAGAAGCCCAAGCTGGTCATTTGAGAACTCTGGCCTGGTCTTGGCTATGGGCAGGACTGAGGGGTGTTGATGGAGATGTTGCTCCTAATTCCCCTCCCAAATACCCCAAATTTCATCTCCTATTACTTTCTGGTGAGAGGGAGAAGATGTGTCTTCTCCACCACTATCCATGCAGAGGGAAACATGAGGGAACCCCACTTCCCAGCTGAGTCCCCCCCACCCCGACTCACAATGCAGTTTCCTCACCTGGGCTTTCCACATCTGAGGATTCCTTCTTGAACCAGCAAAGGACAAGAGCAATAATAATAATAATAATAACAATAATAATAGCAGCAACAAGTACACGAAGAATAATTGGCCATGTACTCTCTTGTACCAAGGTCCCACCTGAAAAAGAACCTAATAATTCATTGGGTCCCCCAGACCTGCAAGTCTTCTAACCTTTCCCCCACCCTGGGCCCTGGCTATCAAGTCGTAACCCACTCCAGGATCGCCGTTGCTCACCATGGCTCACAGGGCACGTAATGTTCTTCCCACTGTGTTCCAAGTGGCAGCTGTACCTCTGCTCCTCTCCTTGGGGAAGCCTTGTGGACACCCAGGTCTTGTAGGTCCCATTCCCACCAGACAAGACACTCCCAGACTTCTGGGAGTCCATGCTCAGAGGTTCCCCATCCTGAAGCCAGGTCAGTGTGATTTTCGGGGCATAGAAGCCAGCAGCCCAGCAAGTCAGGATGACGTTGCCCTTCACGGCCTCACTGAGGGTCACATTCACTGCTGGGGGCACGGGGAGGAGAGAGGGCATAATCAGTGAGGCACATGGCCAAGCCCTGCCTCCAAGTCTAAGGGAGACGGAACAGGGCTGGTCCTCTATGTTTCTTGCTCTGGCCTGAAGCTGCATTCACCCACCAGCGCTAGGGCTTCATGCTGCTTACAAGTCAGTTTGGACCATGGGATACCAATTCCTTAGTTTGGCAGGACGATTGGGCCTAGGGTTGGAGCCTCACTCCCTGGATCCACATGTTGATGCTGAAGAGGGAAGGTGGCTCGGGAACTTCTGGGTCATGGGGGCTAAGAGGGAATTCCAGGCTGAGGCAAGCTGGGAGCTGGATGGGGCAGGCTCATGGCTCTGAGGCCTCCATGGACAAAGTGCATCCTCTCCTGCCTAACATCCACCTTCACAGGTTCACTTTTCTGTCTAAGGGCCCCCTGCTTTCCTGGATGTTGACACTGGACAGGTCAATCCCCCACCCACCTGTGTGTCTTTACTCAGAGGCTTTAACAGGATGGGCAACTCAGAATACAATGTACCAACAGGACATATAGGGATCCCATAGGACAGGGAGGGTTTCCCTCAGGTAATGCAGAGTGACGGGGTTCCAGGGGATGGGGGAAATGAAGGCCCTTCCCCAGCATCAGTTCCTATCCTCTCCATGAAGTCTCTCCCAGAGTCCAGGTAGCTCCACAGTCTTTTACAAATATCTCCCTGCACATGGTGACCATAATACTTGTGTTTGTCCCTATCTGCATCCCAGGTCTTCTTCATTTCCAGTGCCAATGTCTGGGCCAATGACTGGGGCACTGTCCATCTCTGGGTCTCCGGAAGATAGGAGAGGAAGGGCTCCCTGTCATAGCGGTAATCCCAGAAGCCCCAGGTGCCATTGTCTTCCTGGATCTCACAGTCCAGCGTCTCCTGGAGGGAATGCAAGCCTGCCCCCACCCAGCCATGACTTCTCCATCCCTGGGTCCCTCCACTTCCCCCACCCAAGGTGAGAAACTCCAGCCCACAGCACCCCTTACTCCCCATCCCCATCTGTTCCCCGAGAGACAGCTCACATCCTGGCTGAATTCCACAGACCCCATCCCTATCACCCACATCCCAGCAAAATCCAGAAGAGATAGGCCTCTTCCTCTCTGCCCCAAACCCTTCAAGAAACATCCTCACACTCCTCTGTCTCCTCCCCACTCTCACCTCTTTTCTGATCCTGCAGCTTCATGATGTCTGACAGAGTCATTCTGAGCTCCATCCCTATGTCTGTAAAGTCCATGGTCTCTAAATCCCAGGTCTCAGCTCCCAGGTTGGCTTCTCCCCATGGACCCTGGGGCTCTGCCCTATCTTTCTCACTGTCATAGTGCAGGAAGAGCTTTCCATCAATGTATCCCTCAGCGATGAATCGTGGTTGCACAGATCTCCTGGGAGACCACCGTGATGTTATAACGAAGACTGTGGAGTCCTGTGGGAGGAGGAAGCCAAAGATGAATCTTCTCCTAGAAATAACTGCACATCAAACATGTAATAGAAGGTTCTGTGGTCTTGAACTCCCTGAAGAGTGGTACAAGTGTGTGCCCATGGAAGTGTGGAGGGAACATGTAACATTCACAAGAGGTTAGGGTTAGAAAACATCACAGGAAAAGGGCCAGTGCTGGGAGAAGTATCAATATGGGGAAAGGACAGAGTAAGTCCAGTAGAAAAATCAAGGATTTAGGTCAGTTATGTGAGCCAAAGAGATCCCACTGTAGTCAGGGAAGCAAAGGGGGAAGTTCAAGGCCAAGGAGCTGGGCACTTAGACCAAGAACAGTGTGAGGCCTGGGGGAGCTGGGGAGGTAGGAGGGTAAGAGGAACAGGGAGATGGATGGTGGTGAGGCCTAGGATTGGTGAGGGGCATGGGGCATGGATGAACTTGGGTTACAGTAAGATCTAGAGAGGAGGGGAGGACCTGTTTGTGGAGAGTGGTGATCACAAGGTCCCCAGGGGAGAGGGCTTGTGAGAGATGAGAACTTGGCGAGGGCCTAGACAGTTGGCAAGGTCCTGGGGTGAAGGTAGAGATACAGACAGACCAGGGAGGAAGGGGGTCCAGCACCTTAGGGGTTAAGAGAGGAAGGAGGTCATAAAGTGTTAGGTTTGGGATGAAGGCTTGGGGAAGAGCTGCACTGGACCAAAGCCTGTGGTGGGAAGGGCCAGGAGCAGACATATGCATTGGAAAGGGAGAAGAGGGTACGGAGTATCGAGACCTAGGGAGAGGTCTATGGACTAGGGGCTGCATGCTGCTCTTAAGGGCCAATGATTGTTAGCTCTGGACTCCCTGTAGTGAGGGCTCAAGTGAGTGGGGATGAAGGGAAGACCAGCTGGGCAAAAGGTACCATCAGGAATTCAGGGTGAGACATGGAGATCGGCAGCGAGCACCCTGTGTTCCCGGTTGCTTGCCGCATCCCCTGCCCCACACCCCATCCACCCAGCAAGTGGTAAAAAGTGTCATGTCTTCCCGGTGGCCCACCACAGCCCCCTCCTATTGCCCTGTGCACTTGGTGAGTGGCAGAGAGTGCCCTGTGTTCCCAATTGTCTGCCACACCCCCCGCCTACCAACTCCTGCAGCCCCCACACCAAAACTATGAGTGGCAGAGAGCACCCAATGCTCCCGGTCACCACCACACCACCCCTCCACCTCACCCTCATGTTGCATGGCAAAGAGCATTTCTGTTTCCCCAGATACCCACCACAGCTACCCCACCCTACTCCCACCCACCTAGTAGATGCCATCACACATTCCCATGCCACTGGACCGACAACAAGTAGCATCCTATGCCTGCCCAGCCAACTATCAGCCACCCAACACACTCGGTGAAAAGCAATATGCACTCACCCTGCCCACCGTTGCCCCACCCACCTGGCCAGCCCTGATATATCAAAATAAAACAAAAAATCAGGACAAAACAAACAAAAATATAATCAATATATAAATACAATAATAAATAAAATAACACCTTAATGTCTCGAAGACAGCAAACAATAACAAATCATGAAAAAACAGGATAAGATGGCTCAAATAAGGGAGCAAAAAAAAGGGGCAGAAAACCTTCCAGAGGAAGAAATGGTAATGGAACTACCTGGTAAGGAATTCAAAAGATTTAGGTATAGGATCCTCAAAGATATCAAGGAAAACACAGACAAAACCCTAGATGAATTCAGGAAAACAATATAAGAAGAAAATGACAAAATAAATAGATAATTAGAAACTATATGAAAACAACAACTAGAAATCCTGAAGTTTAACAATAAAATATCAGAAATAGATAAGTCAATGGAAGGACATAGAAGTAGAATTGAATCAATGGAAGAAAGAGTCAGTGAAAAGAGGACAAATCCCTTGACACTAATCTATTTGAGGAACAATCAGAAAAAAGAAGGAAGAATAACAAAGAAGGCCTAAAAGTTACATGGGACCCAATCAAGGGGAAGAATTTACACATAATTGGAATTTCAGAAGAGGAGGAGAGGGAAAAAAAGCACGTAGAGAATTTTGGAAGATTTATTGACAGAAAACTTCCCTAATATTATGAAATATGAGAAGGTTTTCATTCAAGAAGCTCAAAGAACCCCATACAGGATAGATCCCAAAAGAAAGTCACCAAGACATATTGTCATGGATTGCATTGTGTCCCCAAAAAATAACTCTCAACTTGGCTAGGCCATGATTCCCAGTATTGTATGATTGTCTACTATTCTGTCATCTGATGTGATTTCCCTATGTGTTGTACATGCTATCACTATAATGTAATAAGATGGATTAGTGGCAGTTATACTGATGAGGTCTACAAGATTAGATAGTGTCTTAAGCCAACCTCTTTTGAGATATAAAAGACAGCAGCAAGCAGAGACATGGGGGACCTCATACCACCAAGAAAGCAGTGCCAGGAGCAGAGCGTGTCCTTTGGACCTGAGGTTCCTGCGCTAAGATGCTCCCAGACCAAGGGAAGATTGATGATGATGACTTTCCTCCAGAGCCAACAGAGAGAGAAAGCCTTCCCCTGGAGCTGATGCCCTGAATTCGCACTAGTAGCCTACTAGACTGTGAGAAAATAAATTTCTCTTTGTTAAAGCCATCCACTTGTGGTATTTCTGTTACAGCAATACTAGATGACTAAGACAGAATGTAGTACTGAGAGAGTGGGGTGCTGCTCTGACATATACCTAAAATGTGGAAGGGGTTTTGAAACTGTGAATGGATAGGGCACCGGCAGAAGCAGAGAAGCGGCAGTGGCAGAGAACCAGCAGCAGCAGAACCAGGCGACCAGTGCGACACAGTCCTGGAGCCAACCCGTGGAGCAAGAGAGCTGAGTGTCTGTGTGCAGGAGGCTTCCTGGTGGAATGGGGTGCCTCTGGGCACTTATTGGTGGAGCTACAGAGCTTTGGAACACTCCCCCCAGCAGGGCAGATGTGGGCATGGGGCCTGAAGAGTGGAGAGGCCAAGAAACCAGGAAGCAGAAGCTGAAGAGACAAGAAACACAAGAAGCTGAGCTGCCTCAGTCTCAAAAGGTATGGCCATGACCTCATGGGTTTCAAAGGGTAGAGCCATGGCCTCTGGTGTTTCTAAGGGTGGAGTCACCACTCAGATGGAGTAGGAGAATGGTGCACCTAAAGCCGAGGGAAAAGAGTTGCTGACCCAGTGGGCCTAAAAGGCAGAGCTGAAGCCCAGGGCTGAGGGGCCTCCACTCAGAATCCAGAGAGTGTGGCCAATACGTAGAGTCTGGAGGGCAGGGACATTGTGTAAATTGTCTCAGAGAACAGAGGATTATTTTCAAAGCCTTGAGAGCTAATGTGATGTGTTCTGCTGACTTGCTTGCTGCCTGTTATCCTTTCTTTTTCTCCAGTTTCTTCCATTTGTAATGGAAATGTGTTGCTTGTGCCTGTTCTGCCATTGTACCTTTGAAAGCTTTGCTTATTCCTTACCAATTTGGATGCCCTTTATTTCCCTTTCTTGCCTTATTGCTCTGGCTAGGACTTCCAGTACAATATTGAATACTAGTGGTGTTAATGGACATCCTTGTCTCATTCTTGTTCTCAAGGGGAATGTTTTCAATTGTTAACACCACAAAAATAAATAAATAAATAACAAGATGGCAGCAGTAAATTCATACCTATTGATAATCATACTGCATGTAAATGGTTTAAATGTAACAGTCAAGAGACAGAGAGTGGCGGAATGGACTTTAAAAAAAGACTGATCAATATGTTCCTACAAGAGACACATCTTAGACACAAAGACATAAAAGGTTAAAAATCAAAGGATGGAAAAAAATATATCAAGCAAACAGTAACCAAAACAGAGCAGGAGTGGCAATATTAATCTCTGATACAACAGACTTTAAGTCAAAATCCATTATAAGAGACAAAGAAGGGTATATACTGATTAAAAGATCAATTAGCCAAGAAGACATAATCATGATAAATATTTACACACTCAATGACAGAACCCCAAAATACATAAAACAAACTCTAAGAGAATTGAAAAGAGAAATAGACAGTTCTACAATTACAGCCGGAGACTTTAACACACCACAGAATTCTACAGCATATCAAAAAAATAATACATCACGATCAGGTGGGATTCATACCAGGGATGCAAGGGTGGTTCAACATTAGAAAATCAATCAACATAATTCAACACATAAATAAATCAAAGGACAAGAATCATCTGATCATCTCAATCTATGCAGAAAAGGCATTTGATAACATCTAACACCTTTTCCTGATAAAAATTCTCAGTAAAATAGGAATTAAAAGGAAATTCCTCGACATAATTAAGGGCATATAGACAAAACCACAGCCAACATTATTCTCAATGGAGAGAGATTGAAAACATTCCCCTTGAGAACAAGAATGAGACAAGGATGTTCATTAACACCACCATTATTCAATATTGTACTGGAGGTCCTAGCCAGAGCAATAAGGCAAGAAAGGAAAATAAAGCGCATCCAAATTGGTAAGGAATAAGCAAAACTTTCCTGATATGCAGATGACATGATCCTATACATAGAAAACCCCAGACATTCCACAAGAAAGTTACTGGGACTAACAGAAGCATTCAGCAAAGTGGCAGGGTACAAGATCAACATATAAAAATCAGTTGGATTCCTCTACAGTAACAAGGAGGATTCTGAAAAAGAAATCAAGAAAACAAGACCATATACAATAACCCCAAAAGGATAAATTACCTAGGAATAAATCTAACCAGGGACCTAAAAGACAAGGAAATCTGCAAAAAAATTACTGCAAAAAAACAAAAGAGACCCACATAAATGAAAAAACATACCATGCTCATGGATTAGAAGACTCAACATTGTGAAAATGTCAATACCACCCAAAACAATCTATAGATATATTGCAATCCTGATCCAAATCCCAATAACATTTTTAATGAAATGGAAAAACTAATCTCCAACTTTATACAGAAAGGAAAGAGGCCCCAAATAGTTAAATCATTATTGAAGAAGAAAAACAAAGTAGGAGAACTCACACTTCATGATCTCAGAACTTACTAAAAAGCTACAGAGGTCAAAACAGCCTGGCACTGGTACAACAGACACACAGACCAATGGAACAGAATTAGAACCCAGAATTAAATCCATACAGCTATAGACAGCTGATCTTTGACAAAGGGGTTGAAGTCCATTCAATGGAGAAGAGATCATCTCTTTAACACATGGTGCTGGCAAAACTGGGATATCCACTTGCAGAAAAATGAAACCAGATCCATACCTCACACCATACACAAAAACTAACTCATAATGGATCAAAGACCTAATGTTAAACCTAAAACTATAAAGTTCCTGGAAGATAACATAAGTACAAAACTAGGGGTCCTAATCTGTAGCATAAATACACTGTCAAACATAACTGAAAATGCAGCAACAACAGAAGATAAACTAAATAACTGAGACCTCCTAAAAATGAAATACTCATGCTCATCAAAAGATGTTACCAAAAGAGTAAAAAGGGAACCTGCAGAAAGGGAAAAAAAATTTTGGCAATGACATAGCCGACAAGGGTCTAATCTCTAAAAGTTATAGAAAACTTCAACGCCTCAGCAACAAAAAGACAAACAATCCAATCAAAAAACAGGCAAAGGACATGAACAGACACTTCACCAAGGCAGACACTCAGGTGGCTTACAAACACATGAAGAGATGCTCGTGATCATTAGTCATTAGAGAGATGTAAATCAAAACTACATTGAGATACCATCTAACCCCTGCAAAAATGGTACTGATCAAAAAAAAGGAAACAACAAATGCTAGTGAGGTTGTGGAGAGATTGGAACTCTTATATACTGCCAGTGGGATTGTAAAGTAGTACAACCATTACGGAAAATGGTATGGCACTTCCTCAAAAAGCTAGAAACAGTAATACCATATGATCCAGCAATTTCACTCCTAAGTATATAACCTAGAGAAATAAGAGCCGTGACACAAATAGACATCTGCACACCCATGTTAACTGCAGCATTATTCAAAAAGATGGAAACCTAAGTGTCCATCAGTGTATGAATCGATAAACAAACTACAGTACATACATACAACGTACTACCACAGCACAATAAAGAATAGTGATGACTTCGCAAAATATCTGATAACATGGATGAATCTGGAGGACATTATGCTGAGTGAAATAAGTCAATCACAAAAGGACAAATACTGTATGATACCACTATTATAAAGAGTCAAGAACAGATTCACACATAAAGCAACATTCTTTGATGGTTACCAGTGATAAGAGGGAGAGGGAGGGAGAATCACTTACTTGATAGTGATAATTAAGTGTTAATTCCGGTGAAAAGAAAGGCAATACACAATATGGAGGAAGTCAGCACAATGTGACCAAAGTAAATGAAGACACTGAGAGGTTTGCAAGAGTAAAGGACAACTACGGTAAATGCTATAACATGTACAATTCTGCAACAACAGTAATAGCAATCAAAAGTTTGTTGATGGTTATGTAGGTAGATACGTATGCTATATAAGTGTGGGAGGGCGTATGGGAGTACACGCTTGTGCATATATAGGTATAGTTGTGGGTATTTGTACATACATATTTGTATTGCTGCATAGATATTTATATATATATGCTTGAGCACACTTACGGAAATTCCTTAGACATATCCAGACACCTCGTGGGACTGAGTTACTGGGCTTAAAGGCTAAGAAGCATAGTCTCGGGGGACATCTAGGTCAATTGGCATAACATAGTCCATAAAGATAATATTCTATATCCTAGTTCGGTGAGTAGTGTTTGGGGTCTTAAAAGCTTGCGAGCAGCCATCTAAAATACAGCTATGGGTTTCTTCTCCTCTGGAACAAAGGGGAGTGAAGGAAATCAAAGACTCAAGGAAGCAATTAGTCCACAGGCCTAATGGCACACACAAAACACAGCCTTCTCTAGCCTAAGACCAGAAGAACTAGATGGTGCCCAGCTACCACTAATGACACTCTCCAACCAAGGACACGACAGAAGGTTCCAGTTAGAATGGAAGAAAAATGTAGAATAAAGCTCAAACTCATAAAAAAAGACCAGACTTTCTGGACTGATAGAGACTAGAGGAACCCCGGAGACTACTGCCCTAGATCCCTTTTAACCTGGAACCGAAGCCACTCCCAGAGGTCACCTTGCAGCCAAATAACAGATTGGCCTATAAAATAAACAATAACACCAGTGAGGAATGTGCTCCTTAGAACAATCAACTATAGGAGACCAAATGGGCAACATTTGCCCAAAAGCAAAGATGAGCAGGCAAGGGGAAGCGCGGAGAGTGGAGGGGAAGGCAGGATGGAAATGGCGAGAGTGCTGACACATTGTGAACATAGCAACAATGTCACGGAACAATTTGTGTATAAATTGTTGAATGAGAAACTAATGTGCTGTATAAAGTTTCACCCAAAACACAATAAAATGTTCAAAAAAAAAAAAAACAAAGAAGACAGAGTAAGAGAAAGATGAGAGGGGACTTAGAGGCTCTTGTAGGAAATGGCCCAAAAGCCAGGAGGGGAAGGGCCTGGGGTAGGAGAGAGAGGAGATGAGAGTGAGGACACAATAGAAACAGATCAGAGAACTGAAGACAGGAGAAGACAGCAAGGAGAGGGGAGGGCAGGGGGTATAAGAAATGAGGGTTGGAGTGAGGAGAGACGCTGGTGTGGGGACACAAGTGTGTGAGAAAATCAGAGTTAATCTTAGGGTGGTGGGGGAGAATCAAGAGGGGAGAGGACCCCCAGGAACGGGAGACCAGGAGAGAGGTGAGAGTCCACAGCAGAGAAGTCTCTAAAAGAATCCCCTGACCACTGAAGCCTTCAGACTCTAACCTCCCTCAGTGTGAGTGTCTGTCTACACAGCAGGAGGGAGAGTGGTTCGGGCCTGGGTCCCCATATGTGCTCTTGGTTATGGGAATGCACCCACCCCCCTCCTCCCGGTACTGAGACACCTGTGAGTGAAGTTGCGCTGGGATCCTTCTTGTTACCTGACGAGAGAAGTGGGAAGGGAGCTGAGCTGCTGACTCAACCAGGAAGCTGAAGGGGAGACGGGACGCGGTGGTGGTGGGTGTGGGGTGCGCCTGGGTCCTGAGAGCTCCTCACACAGGGCGGAAAGTGGTTTCCTGAGCTTCACAGAGCCAAGGGCCCTGAGTGTCATTCAAAGGAGCAACCTAGGAGGCGGCCGGGACCCCAGGGGCCTCAGATAACTGGGCTGTCTGCAAAGCAAGCCAGCAAGAAGGCATGGAGATCTTGAACGGGAAGCAAGTCCAGCTAGTACTAAGAAAAGGCGGCAGGAGGGGAAGGAAGGTGGATGCGAGACCACAAAGAGCACCAAAAAGATTTGGAAAAGCCGGATACTGTAGGATGACAACGGGCCATTACAGCCCCGACTCCACCACAGACATCCCACCAGAGACCCGCTGGGGCCAGATCAACGCTCCCGTGAGCTCACAGAAACCCTCCTGAAGCTTGGCCGAGGACCGCAAGGAACCCCACTCACCAGCGGCAACGTCCAGGGGCGAGAGACAGGCAGCCCAGAATAGGACCGGCAAGACTAGGCACACCCCCATCACGGTCAACGCCGCCTCGATCCCAGCTGAGCTGAGTACGGCGTGCCGCGGGGTATAAATGGCCTGCAATACCCGCGAGAAGCCGCTAAACCGACGATAACAACTTTCCATCCGCGCCCACGGGGCGGAGCTACACTTGTGATAGCTAATTGGAAGTTCCAGTGAGCCTATTACTAAGGAGACGTGCCCAAACGCCGGCAGGCCTCCGCCCCTTCGCCCACCCGGCACTGAAGACCAGCGCCTGCTACTTCGGCCTTTCCAGGTAGGTTAGGAGCCCTGGTGGCGCAGTGGTTAAGAGCTTGACTGGTAACCGAAAGGGCAGTGGTTGGAATCCACCAGCCGCTCAGCAGGAGAAAGATGTGACAGTCCGCTTCCGTAAAGATTTACAACTTTGGAAACTCTACGGGGCAGTTTTACCTTGTCCCATAGGGTAGGTATGAGTCGGAATGGACTGGACGGCAGTGGGTTTGGTTTAGGTAGGTTAGATGGCACGGGAGCGCGCAGCCAAATGGTGCGGGAACAGGGCTGAGCAGGTGAGCGCTGGGGCTCTAATCCAAGAAGCACGTCCAGACCACTGCCACCCTCCCCGAAAAAGCGACACCCCGCCTGCAAAGCCGCGCCTATCTCCCCAAGCCACCCGACTGCCTCACTCTCGCTTTGTCATCCAGGATAAATTTCAACAAGAGGCAACCCGCTGGTTATTCAGTCAACACGCCCTCCCTGAACTGCTCAAAGCCTTACTGTCAATGTCAGCACTGACCCCCTGTTTGCAGATTTTAGCCACCCCTGCCTCTCAGAAGCACCTTCCACAGTTGAATCAGGCTCCAAAGTCCCTTAGACGTTTCAACGATTATAATCCCTCCCTCCTCTCAATGACTCGGATTCCACCAGGCCTCCTGCTTCTGGCCACGTCCTGTGTCTGTGCTGGCCCAGGGCAGCCTTGCTACTTAGCCCCTGGGTGATCCCAAGACCATTGAGGTGACTCCTCATGGTCTACACCAACACCAGCCTCTCTGTAGACTCCAGTTTCCAATCCCCCTTAGGGATATCTGTGTCTCCAAGGCCCAATGCCCTCAATCCCAACAGGTCGATAGCGAAACCCTGCACCTATCCCACAACACCAGCTTCTTCCTCCCCGATTTTATCAGCATCACCATCCTAGGTCCCTTCTGACTCCCTCTTTCTCTTGCCTCTCATGTACTCAAAGGCAGCTCTTCCACCCCTTTTCCAATCCCTCTGCCACCACCCAAATCCAGGCTTTCATCTCATTTCAGTCTAGAATAAATACTGCACAGGCTCCTAAAAACCATGCCTGCACCAGATAAAACCCCAGCACTCCAAAGCCGTCTACAGCTCCCCGTCTGCTGAATTCAACACATAATGCCTCTGTTCCGCCATGGAAAGCGCAGCACAGCAGCGCCAACCTGCTGCCTGGCATCAGGCTTCATTTCTCTGGTGACATCTCCTCAGACTTGCTGTCAAAATGGACTCCTCCAATCTTACCCTGTTCACCAGGAGGCCACTGCTGAAGCAGTCTTCCTCACCCCTGCCTTCTGACCCGTCATCAGACCTCTCTACATCCTTAAAGATCATTCTAATTGGATAGTGGTGATGGTTGCACAACCTGGTGAATATACTGAAAACCACGGAATTGTACATTTTAAAGGAGAATTTTTAAATGAGAAATTTATAGTTTGTGAATTATATAATAGTACTAATACTAATGTCTTCCTGAAAGCTTTGCCTCATCCTGACACACCTCTCTTGGTCTTTGGAACATCTAGCTAGTGGTCCTCAAATGTAGCTATTTATTAAAACCACCTGCGGACTTTTTGAATCTTTATGCCCAGGCTATGGCCAAAATCTACTGAATGAGAATCCCTTGGTTTGGACCTAGGCCTTACCATCTTTGAAAGCTCTGGAGTGATTCCAGTGTGCAAGCAAGATTTAGAACCACCTGTCTAGCCCATGGTTTGAACCTCCCTAATGGCACCAATTGGGCCCTGCCTCACACTCCATCTTACAATCCCCCCACTAGACAATGAACCACCCCCCAGGATCAAGGAGTGTGTCCATTTCATCCCTGATTTGTCTGCATAGCCCAGTACAAGGCCTTGCACACAGGAGATGCCCAACACATGGTTTACTAAAGTTGAACTCTACCTATCATTCCTGACCATTCCCTCAAGACCCCTAGCCTACACTTTCTCCGTGGATGGAAGTAAGTCATGCATCCTAAACTTAAAACAATTCCTTAGGTTTTTACATCTGCATGTCTTAATTATTTAACTTGACCATCATGATTTATTTAGTACAGCAGGGATTGAGGGTCCTGTCCTCATTTGACAGACAAGAAAAATTCATTCTCAGATTGTTTTGATTGCTAGAGGTCACAGGGTAGTGAGGGGCAGAGAGGGAGATGGAACCCAACCACCCTGACAGCTGGTCCTGGGCCTTGTCCTCCATGATAGTGACTCTTCTCAGGGACTTCCAGGGGTGGCTGCTCCAGCAAACTCACTCAGCTTGCTCCTCCCCACACTTTTCAATACTTTAATAATAACAATAAACTAGATTTGTTCCAAGCCATTTAGAGATGAGTGCAACGAGACATAGAGCCAAATACCCCTTTCTGTGAAGGCTCGGGTTCCGGGTTTGGGTGCAGGATCCAGGCGGGCTGCCCCTCCTCCACCAACCCTCCGAGGTCAACAGCGGTAGGAAGCCCTCTCCCTGTCGGTCTCCAGACCCCTCTGCTCTGTCCCATAAACTTCCTGTTCTCCCTCCACTCTCGCCTTTGCACCAGGACTCACGAGAATAGGGGCGCGGAACGCAGAGCTCCGCAAAGACTTCAGTCGCCACCGCTGCGTCCGGAAAAGAGAACTGAAACCGCGCGTAGCAGTGGCTTGTCGTGAGACTCCGTCTGCCTTCTGGGCTGCGCCCGCTTTTTCGCCTCTGCCCGGACATACTTAGGTTACCGAGAGGACTGAAGTTCACCGTCACCCCACATAGGCCTAAAGAGAATAAAAATTGTTGATTGATGAAACAGAAAAATGGAGCTTATGGGAAAAACGGGTGGTGGGAGCAAGCTGCTTTTTACTTTCTGATTCTCAAACCCGATTTTGCTTGGCAGGCACACGAAGTGCCCGATGAGAACATGCAGACCTGGCCCCATCTAGGGCGAATTCCGGGTCTTAGGAAGGAATTCTCTTTCCAAGGAAAGAAATTCACTTCTCCACAATCCCTGATTCATCCTTGAGTTGTAAGGTTCAGCTGAGCAGTAAAGGTAGTACTAAGAATATCATCAATTTATAGACTAGTGATATATGTGTGTGTGTGTGTGTGCGTGTGTGTATGTGTGTGTATATATATGTATGGAGTGGAGTGATTGCAGTTCAGTAGATTCCGGCTCATAGGACAGAGTAGAAACCATAGGGTTTCCAAGGAGTGATGTGGATTTGAACTGACAACCTTTTGGTTAGCAGCCAAGCTCTTAACCACTACACCGTCACTGAT